TATAAGTAAAACATCTTCATTAATTAATTGAGAGCAAAAATATTTTTTCTCTCAGTGTTTCTCTCAGTGTTTTTGAAAAACAAGCCAAACTTTGAAAAGTCCAGAAATGAAATTCACGGCGATATTTGTGGATTTCAAAGATGTATTCATCTAGGCTCGTGTAAGTTCTGCTCAATCACCATCCTGCATGGGATCACGTCAAAATAAATACAGGGAAATAATCAGACCAGAACACACTGATACATGACAGGTACATGGTGAGAAGTGAAAATGAATAGACAAAATGAAAGTTCAGTAACCACAATGCCACATTTCGTTGCTTACACCTTTCATGTTCTGACAAACACGACATAATCGCTTGTTTAGCAACGCTGACAGAACACAACAAAGCTCTGGTTTTTATCTGTCATTTTTCACTTGCACTGACTGACAAGTTGTTCACCCTCTGCAGACAGGAGTGGGAGGTCCTGCCAGTCAAACCTCATCTGACAGCTGGACCAACATGTCAGCTGGATTACTGAAGTTTGTTATCTTTTCTATAATCCAACAGGGTGCGCCTCTGAATAGCAGATGTTCAGAGACTTTTACGCTACAGATGAAATGCAGTGATAAGTTTGTTCAAAAGTTTTAAAAAGTGCCACGCTATCTTTAGTAGCCGTAAAATCCGCTGCTGTTTCATAAATATAGATTTAACCCTCAGCTGGCAACAGTGTCTGTTTGCATTTTTGCTTTTGGGTTTTATGATTTGGAAACAGATCAGTTGAGATAAAAGCTTCTTATTAGTATCGGCTCATCCATGGGCACGGGTCCAGGTTGTGTTCTTGTTTGTGATCCGATCCCTGAGACGCCGAGCCAACTTCGATCACAAACTTCAAGCTCTCACAGGAATGCATGCACTCTCACTGTATATCTACTTTTCTCATGCATAGCTTTTCACCGCAACAATGAGGTGTGTCAAGATAAAATTCTCAAGACCTTGCATAACCAAATATATAAGGAAAGGTAAGACGTGTGTAGTGTTGTTATTCTCGACTGTTTTCAGCCCAAGCCTGTAGGTGGGTCATTCTGTTGGGTTTTGGCTACATGGACACATTTAAAAACTCTCTCCTCCGCATCTTGTTTTCACCTCGATATCATCTGACTTCAGCAATAAACCAAGTGGATTAATGACAGAAAGTGTTTAATCCCGAAGCTTTGAATGATTTTGAAACCATGCTTAATGAACTATACTCAAAAGACATTAAATTCATGTTTTTAATCACTCAATTCAACATTTTTCTCCTTTTTCTTTCATTTTTAATTGAAGCACAGTTGGGTAGTTGAATGAGAGTTGTTGTGAATTGGCGCAACATGAATAAACTGGATTGAATTAAGGCAGAATGGCTCTCAGCTTTGTCCAGTTACTCAAATCTAAATAAGTTCCCTGCTGGTAGAAACAGTGGGTTTCGCTGTTTTTCTTATGTAATGCCAGAGAAGATGCTGCGTTTGTGCTTGGTTTTCTGAGCTGCCAATTTTAATCAGCTTTCACACAAAACATTCAGATTGAAATGTGATTCGGGAAGCCTTAATGACTAAGCACAGTGTTACAACACTCCAACCTTTTTGACCTCTAAGCAAAACAGACAGAAAGGCGTTCACTTTTCCTTCCCATTCATGTGTGAACGTATTTACATTGCAGCTCCACAGAGGCATGTTGTGCAGACTGCACACCCTGATGGCAAAACTGATAACTTCAAGGTTTGAAGACATTCAGAAGGACCCCACCAATCCATTAGTATATTTAATATAACTAATCCATTAATATAATTACTCAGTTCAGAATTCTTTAATATTTTTCTGTGTACTTTACCTTCTTACCCATCGTATTATGTATTTGAAATATTTTTCTGCAAAAAGTCCTGTCTCTCAACTCAAAGTCCTTAATTGTGATCATAGAAAGGAGAGCAACTGTCACTGTTTTCAATGACTAAGACCAGAACATCTGAGCTCAGCATTGTTGCAGCAAGGTGGAGCAAGCACAGTGTTAGTTTAGCATGTCATCTGCTGAGTAAAGTAGACCCATTCCTCCCATTGGCTAAACACACAAGAGATAAATGAGCTGTTGAGTGAATACATGTGATTATATGTCAGAGAATAAAAGTGTGATTCAGTGTTTGGAAGGTGACCAAGACTCTGAATGTAGAACTTGATTTATCAATGGGCGTATGAAGCCACTTGTGTGGCCAGCAGGTAAGCCACCCAAGTGTTAGTCAACTCAGATACATTTGCATGACAGATTCTAAATAAACTTGGAAAAATTCAACACATGTTCATATTGAGGACATGAATGGCGCCAAACATCCATAATACAAAGAGAATATACACTTTTATGCTTTTCCAGGTATATTCTGTAAATTTTGCTTTCCATGTTTTGGTGCCTCCGTTCTCGTCATCTCTTGCTTGAGCATTTAATTCACTGTCTGATTGTCTGACCGACAGTACAACATTTTTTTTTTCTCAGCAATTCCAGGAAATCTGTTGATGTTTATTTTCTGTTTGTCATGGCAGATTTAGTTTTATTTCTAAAATTTAGTTACTTAAAACTGAGTCTTCTTAACTGATTTGGATTTCAGTTTGTTCTTCCTTAATGCTTTACAACATGATATTTTAATACATTACCATTATCTAACAACATGGCGCTATCATCTGCATATTTGCATATCAGGTCATTCTAGCATGGTTATATTCCTCAAAAGAAGCAGAAAAGGTCATGCTCTGGTGCAACAACAGATAGATAAGTTAGTCGCCAGAACCAAATATTCTTGTTAGCAGCAAAAGTGAGGCAACGCCTTTGAATTGGGTCCAGCATTGATGCTCCCTCATGCATGATTTTTCACACACAGTCTATATCAAGCATACCTTAGCAGGTTGAAAGGACTATTTAAGCTGCAAATAATCCTGTTTCACTTTTCTTTTCATGTGCTACAGGCTCCTGTCTGCTGCTGCTGGCAACTACTACTGGGTTCTCTTCAGCTCCTGCAACACACCTGGACCTCTGAGTTAAGAGACAACCAGCTTTACAGAAAATAACTTTTAAAAAAATTTAAACTTCCCCATTACCTTCATGTTAGTCTTTTTGGATGCATCAATAGAAACCCCACAAATACTTGAAATAACATTAACCCGTCATGCCCAGGTAGTCTATATTTACAACCAAAAAAAAATCAACAAAATAACAAATAACACATAACCAACAAATGATCAGGCTTTCAAACAACAGACATCTCACTGCATATTTTATTTTCATTATCTCTGTACATTCATGGTTCTTTTCCCACTTGTTCTCTTTTGTTCATCCTAATGAAAAGCAGTATTCATCAGACAGTGTGGGTGTCTGTTTCTTTCTCTTCATGTCAGTAATTTGATCGACCTGTGACCCACGGGTGTGCCCCGCTCTATTCTAAGTGAAGTACATGTGCACAAATGGCTTTCAAAGATTTTTTTTTTTGTACTGTCATTTTTCCCACCTGAGATGAACTGTAGGTGTCACTTCAGGTCAGGTATAAAAACTACTGCAAACCCAATCTGTTTACAAACTGTGGGTCCTCTATGGGGTGGCATTTTTGCTCTGTTAGGTCATTATTTTTTCAGCGTCTGTCAGTGTCTGTGAAACAAAGCCAAACATTGGGTGGGATTTGGGCATTTGGCAAGTTTCCTGTTTCTGACTCCATGAGAGGTTGCATGACCTGGGGTGGGGCACCTCCATCCATTATCCTTGTTCAAACCTGTTCCTCGATGGACTTGGATAGCTTCCCTTCCCTTTTTTTCCCCTTTTTTTACTGAAAAAGAGAAAAAAATTCTGCTACTGAATTATATTTGGTCAGATTTGCACAATCGCTGTTCCCCCGATTAACCCCAGTTTTACTTGTATTTACTTGAATTTTTGATTCCATCGCTTTATGAGGACGCTGGTTGGATATGTAACTGTGAAAAGGGTCTGGCACCATTTATCAAGAAGCCATGACCAGCCATTGATTTTGTGAAGCAGAAATTTCAATGCAGGCCGGTACTCGTCTGGTGTTTCTGCGAAAGAAACGATCGCATCCCTCATATCCATTCGGTTTCTCTTTCTAACTCTGTTAATAGGTAAACTTGTCTGTGCATGTGTGTGTGATAAGTACACACATACCACACACACACACACAAACCATTATATAATACCATGATACCACCATGATGCTTCAAGTGTTTTCCTACTGGTGCTGAGTGAAGTGCAACTAACCTTTTATCAATGTTTTTAATGCAGTGACTCAGAACAGACCTGAATGCATTTTTTTTTTTTACTTTTCCAGTGAAAACTCACATTGTTGCCAACATATAGGTATGACGCCATGTAGATTATAAAATATGTAAAATTTCCATTTTCTTCCTTATTCTTGTGTTATTTTTTTTAAATGTTCACAGTAAGAATTGAAGGTCCACATTACAGCTGTGCTTCACAGCACCGCCATCTGCTGGGTGAAAAGTGTCAGTGCGATTATCCCTCATTCCAAGCAAAAACAGAATTTAAGATTTAATAAAGTCATTTTTTTTAACGAAGTTGCAAAAACAACCAAAAAATGTATAGTTTTGTTTTTCTCTCTCTGAGACAAGCTCGGCTGGAGTCTGCAGCTCCAAGGAAGAGCTTTGTAGAATTAGGTGACGCTTTGTATGAGCAGGAGTTAAGGCACCCCCACCCAGATATGGAAGCTCTCCATACCAAAATGGCTGCCACAGGAGATTCAATGGTTTCTCAAACATGAATGAATAAATGAAAGCAACACTCCAGGTTAGTGTTTGATGGCAGAATAACATCAAAACGTGACATAAAGCAAAAGAAAAGAAATTATTTTGCATAATATGCCCCCTTTAAAAGTTTCAGGGTTTGGAAATCGAGCTGCCTCATCCAGCAGTGCTTTATTGGAGCTCCTGCATCAGAAAATAGTTTTAATTCATTGAGTTTTAAAGGAATGATCAATAGGTTGGGAAGATGTGCTTTATTTTTAGTCACCAAGATCAAAATCAGGAACAAATCAAGACAGCACTATTCAGCTACAGCCACAGCTTCAGCCTCCGCCTTCTCCTCCTCCTTCTTCTCTTCTTCCTCGGTTACTCCTTGGGCCTCTGCCTCCTTCTCCTCTGTCGTGGTCGCCACGGTTTCGGTCGTGGTCACCGTGGTGGTCTTCACAGTCCCGTCTTCGAGGGCAGAGGTCAAACCGCTGCTTGATGAAGTGCCACTAACCTTAACTGAATCAAGGGAAGAACAGGCGTAGGATGGGATACGGGAGGTCTCCAGGTTATAGGCAGCATTATAGTTGAAGGCTATGTGGTAAATAGAGAGAAAAGATTAAAAGCCAAAGTGATGCTGTTTGTGTCGATGTGTTTATTTCCATGCAACCACAGCGTGGACTTACAAGTCTGCTTAGACACACTGGTCTTGATTCCTGTTGCTAGCCTGCAGAAGAAATAGAAACCAACTTCATTTTTCACGTGGATGCCGTTCTCATCATCACCACCGGGTGGCGCTTGAGCTACCTGATCTCCTCCCCTTCCAGTAGCTTTTTATAAGTGGCTATTTCAATATCCAGAGCCAGCTTCACATTCATCAGTTCTTGGTACTGGCGGACCTGCAGGGCCATGTCCTGTTTAGCTCTCTGGAGAGCTTCCTCCAGGTCTCTGATCCGCAGCTTGGCGTCCTTCACTGCCAGCTCACCCCGCTCCTCAGCCTCAGCTATTTGAGCCTCCAAGTTGTTTCTCTAAGAGTGGGAGGACATAAACAGAGAGAGTTGTGAAAAGGCACAAAAAAAGAAAAAAAAAAACCTATAGGCTTGATAAATTGAAACAAAGAAGTCTCTGAATCCGAGACGTCTAATAATACAAATTAATGAGTATTCAAAAATGTGAATCCAAAGTTATAAGACAGTAAAGAAAGCAGGCCATATAAAGTTTAGGCTTGATTTCTCACCTGAGCTTTAACCATGTCAATTTCAGACTGGAGCCTCATTATTCTGCGGTTCATGTCTGCGATTTCAGCCCTGGTTGACTTTAGATCGTTATCGTATTTTCCAGCTGAGAGTTGCATCTCTGCATACTGCAACACAAACATTTTTCATTAATTTCCCATTCGTTTCATTTTGACATCTGAAGTTAATTATGTTTTTCCATCTGCTTCTTCTGACTCCGTTTGCCTCTTAGAAGTTACACAAGTACTAATTTTTTATGTTAATGGTCTGACCAGAGAGAGCAGAGCAGAGTCTGAAGCTCTCCACCATCAGACTCACATCCCGCCTGGTTCATCGGACTCCCCAGCATTCTCAGAACTGGTGTCTTGAATGCATATGTGCTCCTTGCTCCATACCAGGAGACAGGATTGCCCCTCTAATACCTGCCTCAAGCCACAATAAACCCCCAGCCTCCCTCCTTACCTACCTCAGTCTCATGAACTCCCACTAACCTACGTCTCTCTCCTTCAAACGATACTAAATCCAGCTCTGTCCTGAGGGGGCTTGACTTCTGCACAGTTCTTATTGTTTGTAGATAAAAAGTCTTACCTTATACCTTGGTCTTGATAGCATGATTTTGCACATAGGTCAGGAAATTGTTAGTGTCAACATGACACTAACATTACATTCCTAAATGGCAATCAGCTTTGTTAATGTTGTGAAACTACCTCAGATACATGGAACTCAACACAACTTGTTGCCCTTTTGCAACAACCATCCTATGAAAATTACTCTCAACGTACCAAATTCCTACAATTACCCCAATGAAAGATCTGCACCCAGACATTGTCCTCAGGTCAGTATCTACCAGGGTAGTAGAAATGGTAGAACAGATGGAGGCCACATATGACCACCAGAGGGATAACATGCAGACGTAACCAGGCATGTTTCCAAGCCAGAGATTTCACTTTCCCAGCGTGGAAGTTAGATGGAAGAGGGTAACAAGGTAAATTCAGCAAGTCAAAATTTTTGGATCCTGTAGAGATAGGATTTGTGTCAGAGTCACAAGAAACGCTTCTGTTTGCTGGTGTTTGTAACCATGTGGGACCTGATGCATGTTTGAGAAACATGTGTGGATTGTTCCTATTCTAGCCAGTTACTAAATATGAAGAAACATTTAAGGAAGATTATAAGACTAGTATTTTAAAAAAAGCTATACAATAATTATACAAAAAGAAAAAAACAAAACAAAAAACAATATGGCTATGCATCAATTAGGTTTTATGTTAAGTCATCAGAAATTATGTACCACCTTGTTCTGGTACCAGGATTCAGCCTCCGCTCTGCTCCTGTTGGCGATGTCTTCATATTGAGCTCGAACCTCAGCAATGATAGCATCCATGTCAAGATCGCGGCTGTTGTCCATCTCCACTACGACAGATATGTCCTTGATCTGACTTTGCAATTCATTAATTTCCTACAGAAAATGATGAGATATTCAAATAAGCTGTAAATCAGGAGCCATTAATGTGGAATTGTGTGGTCATAAAAGGTTTTTACTGCATCAAAGAGCTGCCTCAAGAACTCAATCTCATCTGAGAGCCCATCCAGCTTTGCCTCCAGCTCCACTTTGATCATGTAGGTTGCATCTGTGTCCTTCAGATGACAGAGCAATCATAGTATGTAATGGTGAATACCAGACAGTTTATAGAAATGTCCCGATGCATTATTTGGGTAGGTAAATTCACTCAAACCTTCTTCATGAGGACAAAGTTATTCTCACACTCATTGCGCTTGTTGATTTCCTCTTCATACCTCAGAAAGCAGAAACAATGAGAACTTATGTTAACTTTATGTGTCATGTTACCAACGCTGTCCTCAAACAAGAGTCACTGAGATCCAAATTAATAAGACATATAAAAACAAAGAGTAAACATACTGTCTTTAGCATACTGCTTCAGTTAACTGCGAAGTATCGGACTTACATTCTGTATTGACAAATGCCTGATCTTAAATTGGGAATATTTCTGAATTGTTCCCCCGCCCCCCTGGTTTTAAAACATCAAGGTGATTAATACAGGCCAATTAAAGCTACAACAAAAGACTTTTGGGAAAAATTGACTTTCCAGAATGTGAGGTTGAAAAAGAATCAAACCAGTGTTAGTGTTTAAGCCGCAGCTCCACATACTTGATTTTGTAGTCCTCCACCAGGCCCGTCGTCTGGTGCAGGTCGGATTCCAGTTTGAGTTTTTCATGACCCAGGTTGTCCAGCTGCTTACGAAGGTTGGCTATGTACGCCTCGAACATGGTGTCGATGTTGGACCGAGACGTGGTCTGCTCCTGCAGAAGCTTCCACTTGGTCTCAAGCATTTTATTTTGCTGTTCGAGGAAGCGTACCTGAAGACAAAGAGAGTCACTAGTTAGATTTATGGTTATTCTCTCTCGTGTGGCTTTCTTCCCAGTGCAGAACAACCAGAAGTTATCTGTCATGTCGACCTCAACAAGTGGTTCCTGAGTTATGAACATGTCCTCTAAGTGCCCCACCGGCTGATGATGCAGAAATAGAAGTCTGCATTAAAGCTTATGATTTGAAGTTAAACTTAATGACTATTATGATGTTACAAAAGAGTGAGATTTTGCAACCTATATTCATTTGTAAAAACACAAACAGTCCTTTTCTTGTCAAAGAACAAATGGATGATTAATAATGTAAAGTCCAGAGTTGAGTCAAAAAACAATAAGTTTGACTGGTGAGAGACACTAAAAGTTAGCTTAAAAATAATATATTTTTCATGGAATGCTATGGTTAAACACAATGTGCTGTTGTGTCCCAGGTGCCATCCCACCTTTAGGCAGAGTCACCATGATGACAGGCACACAGTTCTGTGAGTACTTTTTTTGCTGTCACACCGGTCCGGGAAGCAAAGGGAGAGTGAACTTTGGTTTGAGATCCAAGGAATTACTGCAGGCTTTATTTAAAACCCCCTTTCATTATTGAGCGCCTCCTTGAATAAAGAAAACTACTTTACAGCACTGAAAAATTACCACTCACTGAAGAATTTAAACAAGTCCATTGCAGAAAACAAGCGTTGCTCTGTAAAAAGAATTGTCATGTTTAATTTAGGAGGTATAACAATGACCCATTCTTCCTTCAGCGTAAAAGCTTTCTTGGCCTCATGAAACAGGCATTGTTCAAGTTTCTTGTGCAAAGATTTACTGAACATCCTCAAAACATGAGGTTTATCTCTTGGTGCTAGTTCTCAGATTACTTCCACTCCTTTCCGTTTATGGTTGTACAAGCTGCAACTGCGCTTTAAAAAAGGAAAAAACACAGGAAATTTGTTTACTCATAACCAGTGAGTAAAACAGACCCCTGAAACTTTAGCTTATGTAAGTGATTCGACAAGATATTTCTCAAAAACACTGCTGGATTGAGAGTGACTTTTCATCCTGAGCTCTTTGAGTGAATTTATTTAGGCTCTACGCAGAACAAATAATTCCTCCCAGATTTGTTCCACAAGTATAATTTTAAAGAATGTCGTTCTGTAAGGCAATGTCCCAAGGCTGATCACCTGCTTTGGTGTGTAGAGCACTCATTTCCTTTGCATTCCCTGAGTTTTTTATTATCTAACCCAAAAGTCAGGTCAACACAATGTGCATTATTGGTTTTCTGTTTCTGCTGTGAATATAAACTTTTGCCTTTTCTAATGTGTCCTGTCCTGACAGCCTTGGCAAATCAATGGCTCTAATTGCCTTACCATATTGTTGTAGATTAGCTCTATAATAGGGTGAAAGATGGTCGCTCCCCCGCCCAGCGCACCGCTTGTTGTGCTGGTCCCAAACATGATATTATATTAACCTCTTGACTGACTGACCTTGTCAATGAAAGAAGCAAAGCGGTTGTTGAGGGTCTTGATCTGCTCCTTCTCCTGGATGCGGACGGCCTGGATGGTGGGGTCAATCTCCAGGTTAAGTGGAGCCAGCAGGCTCTTGTTCACGGTCACGGCGGTGATGGGGGCCGCCACTTCATTGGCAAAACCCCCACCAAAGCCCACATGGCCGAAATCCCCTCCACCTCCCCTGAGTCCAAACCCTCCAGCAGCACCAACAGAAGCACCACTGCTGCCAACCCCTCCATAGGAGGCGCGGGCGGCATAGCTCTGCCTGGCACTCCCCACGCCGCAGCCCCCATAGCCGGAGAATGAGCGGCTGCTGTAGCCCTGGGTGGGACCCCTGGAGGATGACACCGTGGAGAGGGTGGTGGTCTTTACAGCTCTGACAGACATGGTCACAGTGGGAGTCTGTAGCACCGAGGTGGTGAGAGAGGAGAAGAGTCAGGGCAGATGGAGCCTCTCTCTTGTCCTCCGTGGTATTTATCAGAGCAGGGGAGGGACCCCGCTGGGCTGCGATTGGCTGTAGTGGAGAGGAGAGAGAGAAGGGCAGACGTGAGGCAATGTCAGGAAAGAAAATTTCGTCATGTTACACATTTGTAGCAAAGTAGAGACTCAAGTCACAAGAACAGTCAGAGCATTCTTCGTTTTACGGTTCTAACACCTAAAAAGAGGCAAATTTGTTCAAATATTTGAAAGTTTCCTATGCTTTAGAAATAATTCAACTTCTAGTAGGTTTACGGTTGTTGACCGATGCCTGTCCTATTTTATATCTACAAAAATTCATACCTTGGAAATAATTAAGAATCTAATTTTATCACCATCTTATCCACTTCACAGCCTCTTATCATAGATGTGTCAGTGAGACTCAGCTGCTCAGTGTGATGTTGGTGCTGAGAAGTGACAATATGTCTCATAGTTGTGGAAACAGCAGATCTACCCATTTACTTGGTGAATTTTATTCAAGAATCCTTGTCCAAAATCGTCACTAGTCAAAAATATGAACCCATGTATAAAATAGCTAAGTGCACTAATTGTAATCAAGGATGCATTTACAATTGGCCCAAGGAAAAGAACTTGTGGCTCAGCTATTTTTCTGAGCACTTTCATTATCTGTCTGGATTGATGTGTTTATATGCTCACCCACCAAGTGAATTCCTCCTATATCTGTGAGGTCAAAAACAAATGCGGTCAGTCCGTCTTCCTATCAGCAGACCCCACCTTAGTTTCAATACAACCCAAATTATAAAAGGACTGAGAAAACATTTTCTCTCGCTCTCAATTTCAACCTAATGCTAAATCTCACCAAGACAAAAAGATATCTGCATGGATTTTAGAAATAAGTTGAGCTCAACACCTTAAGTTCTCATGGAAGAGGAGCCATGTAGATTGTGATCAGTCTCATAAGTACCTGCGTGTTATTTGATTTATTTGTTCCATAACACTTGAAACTTTTAACTCAGATGTTTTTTAAACTGGAACAATTCAATTAAAACTACTTACTTACAAAACCCCGATTTTCTTGTCAAAACTTCCAATGCGCTCTACATTCTGGTCTCATTCTGTTGGACTCAGGCAATGCAGTGTTCATCCTAAAACACTTATTGCATTTACACAGAGAAAGTATACAAATAAATTCGCCAACATCACATGACATTGGTTGGGCAGACCAATAACATTTCTATCATTAATGCATTAATTTATTTCTCTTCATGTCCCAACTTTTTAGAATTAACAAAGTCCAAAAAAAGATCACATTAGTCATAATCCACTTCTTTTTCCCCAACTGGGTTTGACAATGTGGGAAAAAAAATCTTCTGGAGTGACAAAAAGACAAATCCATACCTGTAGTTTTTTGGGGGGAGTTTTCCACACCAAATCAGTGTGGGGGAACTGGGTGGGACGCATGAAACTCACAGAAGGAAGCTACATTATGATCAGTTTCAGTGTTAAAGGCACGAAGGTTTGGTTAGTGTTTTGGAAATCATTGTGTGTTGTGTTTTGCAAAGAATGTGAAGATGTTATTGTGATTTTAGTTGAACAGATCTGAACTGGTGCTTTGCTGCTTGACTGTCAGGTTTTGTTAATTGTGAGAAGGTTTCCTGTGTCAGCATAAAAAAATATGTAATAATGGTTTGATGACTTGAAATATTTAAGAATGAAAAACAAGAAACAGAAAACTGGATGAATGTATGAATGCGTGTACTGTCTGTGTGTGGGTGTGTGGGTGTGGTGGGGGTGGGGGGGGTGGGTGGGGGGTGGAGGTGCTATTGTTGCCATGACATCACATATCTCAAATCTAAACAGCTTTCTGGGAAGACTTCACCGTTTTTAAAAAAAGGTTTCGAATCTCATTGTGTGGAAATCATGATGCATGTGTAGCTTGGCAGGTTTGTGATTCATGTTGCTGCTGCCAACTTTAACCAGAGCAGTCTCCTTGCCACCCTAACTACCTTTGTAACACTTTGAATTGTTAAAACCTATCAGGAGGTGGCACGTCTTACAAATGTACAACAATTGAAGCTGTCTTGTTAAAAGACACATGTTTTGCTTGGCTATTCTCAAAGAGTGACGTGATTCTTCACAAAGGAGTTCTTGTGCTGAACTTGGAAATGACCTTATATGTACAAGTCAACCAACTTTTGATTTTTCCCTTACACAAATCCACAGCTCGCTGGGTTGAATCTGAATAAGGTTGCTTCTCTCATCCTTGATACAATTCCTTATTTGATCAGGAAATCTGAGAACCCAGAGGGTAATTTGCAAACTTTACTCTCAAATCTCAAAGAAAGCCAAAGATGTCCTCCTGTGCAGAGCTGCTAAATGACACACCAAGGCAGGAATGTGCTGAGAGACACACGTATGTGCGACAAGTCAGATGGTAGCAAGGGTGAGAAGAGGAGCTGGTGTGGTATATGAGAAGACAATTAACAAAGATAAGAAAGAAATCTGTTTCACAAGCACTGGCTGACTCATGGGGATCGGTGGGGGAACTGGGTGGGATGCATGAAACTGCAAAGAAATGTCAACAAGTAAAACGGTTCTTGGCCTTAATGCTTTATTGCTCCTGTCGTTTAATGCGCTCTTAAACATATTTCACATACTATAGCTACTCAATACTATCTATTTATAGATAGTAGTAACTACAAGGACAATAGAGTAAGTTTAATGTTTGATCAAAGTCTGCAAGAAGACTTTGATTTTTCTGTTTTATCTTAAGTTTTCAAGTTTGACTGCATTGTCAACTCTAGCATATGTTGCAAGAGCTGCAACATATGCAAATAAAAATGCACAGGTTTTATTTCTCACTCTAGACAAATAAAACAGAAAAAGTACCTACACAAAGTCAGGATAGAAATTTAATGCCATCACATTGAATAAAACAAACAAACAAAAAAAACCACTGTTGGCTTTGTATATGTTTGGACCCTTTGCCAGTTCCTCGATCTATTCCTTACCCACATGTTACGACTTCATTGCTGCTTTATTATAATTTATATCTGTAAACAGAATCAGTTTGTATCCAAGTGCTAAAATGCACAAATTCACAAATTCTGTTCCAGTTAGAGTTAGTATGGATCCCTGTTTGACTTCAGCCATGTAAGTTATTTATCGGAGTCAGTTAACCAAATAACTTTAGAGCAGATGATGAGTAGGTTATTAAGAAATATGTTAAGTCCTATGTTCTGATGAAGCTCATTTACTATATTAAAAATTTTATTTTGAAAGTATCTACCTTTAAACACTTTAAGTACTTTTAATTGATCCCACATGTCTGTTTTACAAAGACTTGTGTTAGGCCAATGTAATATTTTGAAAATATTACATATAAATATTACATTGTTTTCATACAGTCACACATTTTAATCAAATGCAGCAAATTTGATTGAGCTGAAATAAAGTTTTGCTCATTTCTACTGTTTCAGCTGAAGTAACAAAAAGATCAAAAGAAATTTGTTGCATAAAATTTGAACACACGTCTGGTCAATTCTGAGGGTTTAAGCGTCACCAAATCTGTCTGGGGCCATGCTGAACGAATAAAAGAATACTGAATAAAAAAACTATTTCAAACATTTCAATAGAGCTTCGGCTAGTGAAGAGTATACACACTTGTCCAATCAGATTATTGCATTTTTTTATTCTTGTTTTATTCTTCATTCTTCAATTTGGTTGTTTTTCAGTTGAATTGTGCAGATTTTATGTCATGTAGAAGGTGGAAGAGCTTCAAAATAACATATTTACCCAATCTGGTATTTTTACACAGATGTATGCAGTTTTAGAGGCAATTTAAGACATTCTAGTGACAGACTTGGCCTCTATTTGAGAAGCGTAAAAATATCAACCCATTAAAAAAAGAGGAAATTGTTTAGTTATTACTTACTGATTATGATCTATAGATTGCTTTCATGTCAAAACCTTTTTAGTTTTTTCTTACTTTAGCCCCGGCCTTTTTTTTCATGTATTTTTGTCCATTCTAAAAATGATAATATTGACTGTATCCTTTTTTTGAGACCCAGTAAATGTGGAGACCCTTTTATCCTTCAGCTACACCACCGTTTAAGTTGAGACTTTTGCCTTCTAGTGTCCAAATGGACAGAACAAACCCTCCTGGAGCGTTTGCTTGCACAGTGTTTCCACTTCGGCTGGAGAAATTGTAACGTGATGCTGCCACCTGTGGGCCACTGCTATAACTTAGCAGTTAAAACTATTTAAACGAACAGATACTTAACATCACTCGATTTTCCTCAAGAGAACATTTGTGTGTTTCAGTTTCCGTTGTTCAGACAGACTGCTTAAGAACTCCATTACTTAAAATAAGTTGATTTAAAAAAAGAGCAAAATATCAATAAAAAGGGTTGCACTCTGTAGTACTGTACATTTGTTCAGTGGGAGGGAAAATATTACTAAATAATCCTTTTTGAGAAAATCACAAGCGTCACACATAGAACCTGTCAGACAATTTCTGTAAAATAAAGATCATTTTCACATTTTTATATCTTTGTAGACTCTTTAAAAGGGGAAAATCAAAAGAATCCTTGGTTTGCATTTTATTATGACAAGTTGAACAAAAGAGACAGAATCATCCACTTACTGAGCATTTTCTTTGGCAATTTTTCCACCATATAAAAAAAAGAAAAATCCTTTAACGAGTTTACGATCGTAACATGAAAAACCAGACAACCATGTACTGTTGAGTTTGAGAAATAGATCTGGCTCTTCAGAATTTACACATAATGACCAGTCAATGCTTTAAAGTCTTCCCGTGAAATGTCTTTGAGCTCGAAATGGACATGACAACCAACAGAGAAAATGTCTCTGAGTCGACACATTTCATTGAGCTGCGGTGTGATGTGTGCCCCTCACATTTTGTCAATTGTACTGCCCATAAAAATGGCAAAAAAAAAAAAAATAAACATCTTTGAATTTGTTCAATTTTTTTTGTCTTTT